AATTTCATTAATAAATATTTTCAAATATAAAAGTTTTCCTTATAAGGGCATGATTTTCAACGTTCAGTTTGTATGGCAGCTATATGCTATAGTCGTTCAATGTTGGCGGTTCCGACTATTGAGAATCTTCTTGGGGAGAAAAGGACTGAAGAGAAATGTCATAAGAGCGGAAAAAATATGGCATAGTTTGCTGGGTGTTATCCGTCTCTGGGCAAGCATCTATATGTCGACTAGTGCGTTAGAATCTGCTATTTTTATCGATTGTCCAGTGATAATTTGCCGCTTCAAAGATTTGAAGTGTGAATATGTTTGTGTTGGCGGTGCGAAAATGAGTTTCGAACAAAGAGCCAACATTAAATTTTGTTTTAAAATTGGTAAAACTTTTACCGAAACATTTCAACTGATGAAACTAGTTTATGGCGATGATTTTCTATCCCGTAGCAGAGTGCAAAAGTGGTTTCAAGGTTTTCAAAGTGGTCGTGAGTACATAAATGACGATCAACATGTGGGCCAATCAAAATCCGTGATCACCGGAAATTCCATCGAAACTGTGTGTGAATTCATAAAAAATGAGCCGAAATCATTATTGAAATTAATGGAAATGTAATTGAACTTCTCCAAAACATCGATTTATTGCATTTTGACTGAACATTTGGGTTTACGAAAGGTGTGTGCTCGGTTTGATCCACACAAATTGACTGATGACCAAAAATTGTTCAGAACCCACGACGCCTGTGAACGATTATTTGACCAAAAATCACATTTTAACCATTCACCACTCCCCGTATTCAACTGATATGGCACCGTGCGACTGCTTCCTTTTCGGAAGCATGCATTTGCCATGAAAGGCATTATGAGACGCAGAGGCCATTCAAAAGGCTTGCATCGGCATATTGGCGACCATACMGACCAAYGAGCTAAAACACTCGTTCGAAATGCTTTTTTACCGTGCAAAAARCTGTATTGAAGCRGAAGGAGACTATTTTGAAAYAAATRTGAAAAAARTGCGATAAAAATTATGTAAGTATCTGTTTAATAGTTTTATTGTACTTAGAGCTAATAGTGCCAAAATAAATATTATGCTTTTATTTTACATTTGATCGAAGGGACCAGACTTCTTTCAAAAGTAATAGCTTTKTCGCACAGTTAWATTAATTTAGTACATTAAGATTAGATTTAAGAAASCTGTTTCTCTTTTACATGCAGCCGGCTTCTCGATGAGCTATAAGCTCGATTAAAGATCAGCTATTTTTCATTTGATTTGCTTCATTTTCATCAGCTAATTGCTATTTTATCAATAAAGATGCCCAAATTTACAAACCCGCACAGTTGCATTTTAGTTTCCTCTGGATTTGTATTCGATTAGWCATTAATGTAGTAAATTAAGATTTTTGTATTGTATGGTAAATCGTCCTTAATTAACGCTTTAATCGAATACAGACCATTTAAYTAATAAACTAACTCCTGTGCGAAAAGGCTTTAACATATATAATCATTTGTGTGCGTCAGAGATACTTCAGGGGGAAATTTTATAAGCAAAATATTTATGGGAGTTACTACAAATTTCCACTACCTATCATTCTCATCCTGTCTCTTATACACATCTAGATGTGTATAAGAGACAGCATTTGTTCTCCTCAACACTCTCTTAACTACATA